TCTCTCTCTCTCTCTCTCTCTCTCTCTCTCTCTCTCTCTCTCTCTCTCTCTCTCTCTCTCTCTCTCTCTCTCTTCCTCACATTGTCTGAAGTCGGATGCTAACGATTGCCAGTGTGAGAAGTCATGAGGACTGTCTCGAATCTGGGGTGTTGATAAATGGTTTGCTTGGGAGCTTACGATAACATCGATTGCAGGGCTAGTCCCTTGCTGGTGCCGTGCACTCTACATCGACTAGTCATATGATATGAAACTTCCAGCTCCGCCCTCCTTCGAAAAATTTTGAACGCCTTTGTGGGTTTCATGTGACTCTTGTCGCTGCAGCCGAAACCAAAGAAGCCCGAACAAATTTGGCACCTTGGCCGGGTGAGAGGTTTTATCAGATATTCCTTAAAAAAAAAATAAAAAAATTGGACCGTCTCTCGATTTATGCGTGTCATCCTTACTTGAGCAGGGGCCATCCATGCTAATCTTCTTTCTCTGTATCGTTCCAATTTTAACACATGTCCCGAACACGCTGTATCTGGACTGAAAGTTGCCCCAAATTCCTCTTGAGTTGGCAGACCAGTCAAACGACCCTCTTCAGAAGACTTTGTCTGCCTTCTCAGAAGAGAAGAAGATGTAAAGAGACCATTGCTTCCCCGACCACCACTCCTATGCTTCAGTGTTTTTTTTTTTTTTTTTTTTTCTAAGCCCTTTTTGTGCTGACCAGTGACCAATTCATTTTGTTCAAATTCCGTAGATGCCCTCTAATCTACAGGCTGAATACCAAGCGGACTGGAACAAAGCAGCAAAGCTCATTAAAAACGCTTCCGCAAAGAAGCAGGAAATTTAATTTATTGAAAATTTTAGAAGACAGGGCCTGGGAAAAAAAAAAAAAAAGAAGAAGAAGAAGAAGAAGAAGACAGGGAAACTGGGGGCCCACGGAAGGCAACACACCAAGGCTCGTCTGGAGGATCGCAAGCAGTTCCACCGACAAGGAGGACACCACGAGGCAGCAGCAGCTCTGCCGACACCTATTCGCTCACAAGCACTTAGTGCTCATCTGGACATACCATGACACGCGAGCAACCAGGGTTTAGGGTTTAGGGTTTAAGGCTTCCAGAGATAAGGATGACAGGGCACACTGAAGCTTCGTAGATCTACCAGAGACAAGGAACGGAGAGAGTCAAAAGGTTAAGAGGACTTGAAAAAGGAAGGTAGAACCCCAAGGGCAAGGCTTTCTCTTCTGTCCTATGATCCTATCCTATCTTTGATGTACTCTATGTTTGCCCTGGCCAATTTGGCCAAGGACACGGGGGATGAAGGGGTTCACTTGCTCTCAGGAATTTTCAGGGATGTTAGAAGGAGACAGTCGAAATAGACAATCCCAATTTTGCTACTCCCCACCAATAGATGGAGCCCTCCCGAGATTGCTAGGGGCGCCTGCTCTTATCAGCGCCCCTAGCATCATCCTGGATTGTTGTACAAAAAAAAAAAAGAAAAAAAAAAGGAGGGTTTGTCGTTGTAACATTCCTTCGGAACCTCGGATGACGTTGAAATTACACGGGCTGTCCCCCATCTGAGGAGAAGACAGCAAGGTATATATAACTTAGAAGGAGATAGTCGAAATAGACAATCCCGATTTTTCTCTAGTTGGGTTATGGGTCTAACCTTTACATTACTTCGGATGACCGTTGACTTCACGACCTGTCCCCTGTCCCCCATGTGAGGAAAAGACAGCGAGATACGTATATTATCAAAAAACATTTTCGTCCCTTTTTCCCAGTAGGATTCCAGATGGAGAAGAGTGGGAACATTCAAACTTGTTCTCCCAAAACGGCAATTTTCGGCGACGATAGGCTTCTTGATCCGCTGTCTAGAATGTTGGACAGTACAAAGACAAGCTCTTTCATTGTGGACACATACTACGGATGTCCCCTTCCCCCGAAACAGGAAATTAATATTGATTCATCAATTGTCAATCATTAATGTATTTCCATTATAAGGGACGCTGGGCCCGGTTCCCAGCACGTGATGCTCCCCACGAATAGATTGGAGCAATAAAAAAAAAAAAAAATAATAATAATAATAAAAAAAAAGGTGCCTAAGGAATGGCGGGATGGCCATAAATTTATCTTTCGTCTACTGAGACAGTACACGTTATGGACAATATGGAAACAAAGATGTCAGCAGGTGGTGGGCAAGATTCTGATGACTAGAGTGGAAGCCAAGGCAAGTCTCTATAGGCTGTTGGAGACAGAGATTAGGGCATTATGGATTAGGACAAAGAAGCAAGTGGCTCTTAACCCAGAAAAGGCAAGGGATATTCCAACCAAATTCCAGAAAAGGGTACTAGCCCAAGGCAAAGTAGCGACCGTAGAAGGAGAGAGACTTATCTTCCATTGGTTTAAAGATGAGCGACAGGAGGACACTGCGGATGATCATCTGTGGACACAGGAACTTAGGATGCCATAAGAATTAAAGTGAGCCAAGGCAAGGAAGGATAAGGGCCTCGCCACACCACTCTCGAAATGTGAAAAAGACAAAAAATGTGGCGGGTGCATCTGGTCATGTTCTAGGGGAAGGTTCATTCTCATTTTTCACATTTCGAGTGTGGTGTGGCGATGCCCTAAGTGAAGGGAATTGTAGGGTATACGAACTGAAAAAAAAAAAAAAAGTTCAGAATACCTTTCTCAGCCTTTTTTTGGCTAAGATCAAGTGCACTGTATCTGTTCTGATCAGTTTAATATCTGATCCGTGGTCCATGGGACCACATTATAAAAAAAAAAAAAAAAAAAAAAAAAAAAGTTGAGGGTTTACGGTCGATGGTTTGGACA